GTGACAAATATAATTTTGCTCCTTTTTCAACGAAAAACAGCAGAAAACGACGGTTTTCTTCCAAATAACTAGACATCGTCACGTTTCCTACCTACCTCATGATTTTCAGTGTGAAATCCACATTACGTGACGAGAAAATGAACATTAAGCATTTAACTCGCCGTGGACCGATGTGTGCACCAGCATGCTTGTCTATCCCTCCCTATCGTTTTTTTCCGTAAAGACTTCGATACCTTTCGGAAAACAGTCGTGTGTTTCTCGAGGCGTAAATAAAAGTTAAGAATAAATTAATTTTCTTTAAAAAAGGAAAAGGAAACACATTGGCAAAATGTAAATAAACAAAAACAAATTTAAAATTTTTAAAATACGGAAACTTTTCGAGGTCTTCAAAGTTCACACAGAAACAGATACTAAAAACATTGGTTATTATGGTTAAATTAACAATCAAATCCAGTTAAAATCTGAAAGAAGCTTTATTACAATTTCGAAGTACAAGTATACAGTATTTTGAACATGTTTGTTGATCTCAGTCTCATTGGATTCAGTCTGAACACCCAGCAGTTGTAAAATAAGCTTATGCAATATTGATGATTTGTCGAGTGCATACAGGTTTAACGAGGTTTTTGCGAGTTTTCAATCAATTAAAATTACTAGACGACGTTTTTCATTAAATCAAAATAGACGAATTGTTCCTCATAATCAGATGAATAGCAAACCAAGCGGTAAAACGTAAGCTTACTGCTCACTCGAGTTCACCGTTTTGGACAAATCCCAACTTTTGAAACTTTGCCGTAGGTTTTACACAAACAAAAAATATCAGCTTCAGTCGTCATTCTTCAGTCATGCTTCAGTGAAGTACTATCATTGAAGATATAAACTTTTTCAACTAATCACTCTAAATTCTAAAACCTGTAAAAACCAGCTGTAAAAACCAAGACGATGTCTATCTCTGTCTATCTGCTTCGATTTTCAAGGTGACTAAAGTGTCTTGAATAAAATGTTTTCGCTGAACAAATTGTTTCTTACAGTGCACTGTCCCACCTTTTCACGAAGCTTTCAATATCCCGAATAATGACATGGAACTTTAAAACAAAAATACAAGAAAAACAGCAAAATCTGTGAAAGATCAACCAAGTTAATTTCATCATTGATTAATTGTTTATATTTTCACAAGTTCTCAATATTTATAGATGTTCCAGCAAAGCAGGATTTCAAAGTTTATCCATATGAAAAAGAATTATGGTTGAGATGGAGGCCTAAGCAATCTGATGACGTGGGAAGAATCACTGGTTACAAAATCAACCTGGACGGAAACGTATCCAATGTTCAACCCAGAAAAACTCAGCATACATTACCTGGCCTTCAAGCATACACCCTCTACAGAGTACAAATGAAAGCGATCAGCGTTGTTGGTGAAGGACTATGGAGTGATGTTAAAGAAGTGACTACGCTTGCTTCAGGTACGTCTCCTTTCAAGAACTTTTTCGTTTGTTGTAATTCGGAAAAGACACATTTCTATTAAATGACTTTTGGCAGGAAACTTTAGTGAGTCTTTTAAACCTAGTGTAGTTTTTTTTTTTTTAATTACAAGAAA